GCTGGCACTGATAAGATTGCCTCTGGCTAAGAATGCATTTATTCAACAAGTACATGAAGCCTCTGCACATGTTGGGCACTGGTTTCAGGACCTAGGAACCTCTGGCCTCTGTAGCTTTCGTTACGAAGCCTGTGCTTTGTGTAGAATTAAGATGCTTTCCTTCACTTAGCTCTTCAACATTGGGGAGTGTCTACTCTTTACCATGCAGACACTCGGGCTTGAAAGAAAACTGGAGACAGATGACATTGATCTCATGGAGAAGGTCATATTGGAATTAAACCTAAAGGTCAAGTAAGAAAGAGGAGAGGACATTCTAAAGCTGAGTGAGGGTATCTCAAAGAAGCATAACAAGAACTCAGTAGAGCATGCTTAAAAAGGAAATAATGGAATATGCAAATGTGAACAAATTATATCAGATTAAGTATCAAAGTATACACATTTTGGTCAGTTTTTGGTAATGAACAGAACAGAAGATCAGGGATTTAGTTAAATTTATCTAAAGACAATATGTGGGGAGTGTACTAAAGTAGGGCAATGCCAAAATGGAAGATTAGCTTGAAGATTGTTGGAATAGCACCAGTTAATATAAAAAGGGACTTTAAAAAGAATATGACCTTGTAAGACATGATAAATTAATATATTTGAAACATAATTATCGATGTGTGTAATAAGTGAACTTTTTGGAAATATAAGTAACCAGTTGTCATTGGCTGTATTATTTCCTTAGGTCATAGAAAGAGAGATTATTTTATGGTCCCTCTAATATTTTGTTTAAATTTATTTTTATAAGGGAATGGTACATGCTTCTGAATTAAGAAATAAAACTATGAATAATTCCAAGACTTAATATAAATATTCCTTTAGTCAGTGGATAACTTTCCACTGGTGGGAAAAGAAATCTTAAGCAGCTAAACATGCTGCAATGGGAAAATTATAAATTTTTCTCCTTTTTATTTTTTTCTTGAATCTCATTAAATAGTAAAAACTGGCACTGTGTATATTACACTACAGTGTCTTACATTACAAATGAGTCAATTAAGCCAGGACCTTTGGGTTCTTAATGTCATTTGTCACGAAACCCCTCAGAATAAATGAATGAATGAATAAATAAATAAATAAATGTATGTATATAATAAGCATGTGTGTGTGTGTGTGTGTGTGCGTGTGTGTGTGTGTGTAATGTATAATGTATGCTGTGTACCAATAAATCACAGGAAGAATCTGAATGGGGTCTCCCTGATCCAGCAGGTAAGGCAATAACAGAAGAAAGCTGGAGTCTCTCAATGACATCACCCAAAGGAATGTTACTTTAGACTCCCCACCTCAGCTTCAATCAGAAAAATCACAAGATTTAGTTGCACTTATGTCTCATTATCTGTGTGCTGCAGGTTGAGAATAATTGCTGAATAAATTAGCATCAGATCAGAGAGCATGAAATTAAGGACACAAATAAAGTGAGTTGCAACACAGTAAATTAGAAACAAGTTGAAGACTTCCTAAGTTGAACATTTAGAACTACATTTAAAAAGAGGAATTACAGTTTCAATTCCTGTAGGTCAGAAAATTAAAAACAAAGACATATTTTAAGTATTTATATTTTGCTTTCCTTATATGTGTAGATTTATGTTGGGTTGCAACATCAAACAGAATATTTGACCAGAAGGTTGAAAATTGAAACCTAACCACAGTACAAATTTTTTTTATGATAGAATTCACAGAATTTGGAGGTAATTTTTTCTTGATATTGATATTTGTTTCTAAAGATAAAGGTTTTTACAGCATATATTAAAATTTTGGCTATATTAATATAAGAGGTTTTCAGAGTTTAGCTCAGTGAGTACTTGCTTACAAAAAACGAAGACCTTGTAATATATTAGGGGTTAAAAAGGTAGATGGATAATATTTACTATTTATGTATTAATGTATTTATTATTTTTGGTACCAAGGATTGAACTCAGGGGCACTCAACCACTGAGCCACATCCCCAGTCCTATTTTGTATTTTATTTTCCGACAGGGTCTCACTAAGTTGCTTAGTGTCTTGCCATTGCTGAGGCTGGCTTTGAACTTGAGATTCTCCTACCTCAGCCTCCAGAGCCACTGGGATTGCAGGCCTGCGCCACTGTACCTGATAAATATTACTTCTAATAGCTTTTTGACATCATCCAATAATATAAATATATTCATTAACATATATATTAAAATATATAATTTTAGACTATATAATTAAATATAATTTTGTTCACACACACATATGCTTTTGTATACACACATATATAAACACACATTTTAATTTAATCTCTATAATAATCCTTTAAGACAAATATTATTTTCTCCATTTTATGTGACATTGATGTCCAAAGTGTTTAAGTAACATCAAGGATTGTCATAAATTCAGAAAAATAGGCTTATATGAATATTTAGGTCATTATCTGCCTCTTCACAGAGCATACATTGTTAAAAGGAGACTAAAAAATATTTGCAAAAGAGATGAAATTAAATGAAAACTTTGATAAGACTTCTGTAGCAAATTAGAGAACATTATAGACTGCTGAAAAAAATCTTATATGAGCACAATATTCAAAAAAAAATAAAAGATTCCTTCAGGACTACATGATAAGTGATTTTCTTATGGAGCTAATAGAGTTTGAATAGAATTTTCAAGAAATTAAAATAACAGTAAACTTGATGGTACAAGTCTCAGAGAAGGAGGCAATGAGAAATATGGATATAGAGGAGTTCAGCATAGGAAAATCGATAAATGGATATGTAAAAACTTCATACTTATTGAGTACTTACTCTGTGACATGTCCACTACAAACTTTATCTGTATTAATTCATGTCATCTTCACAATAATGTTATGAGAGCTTTAACATAATCAGTGGATTAAACCACTGATATGGTTTAACTGGGTGGTAACTATAGGCAGGTAGGGTTTGGATGGAAGAAATAGGTTCCTGGGGGTGAGCTTTTGGAGTTTATATTTTGTCTGTCATTAAGATGAGCTCTCTCTCTTCTTCTTGTTGCTATGTTCTGAGCTACTTTCCTTCACTATACCCTTCCTCCATGATGTTCTGCGTCACCTCAGGCCCAGAGCCACAGATTTGTTGGACCGTGAACTGAACCTCTGAAACAATGAGCCAAAATAAAAATTTCCTTCTTTAAGTTGTTCTTGACAGGTATTTTGATCACAGCAACACTAAGGTAACTAAAGCACATGATAGTAACAATCATCTGGCATTCCATCTTAATTTATTATAGAAGGTGGATCAACTGCCCACAGAGCTTTATGTTTATCCTGGGTGCTGTGAAATCCTAATGAGAATTAATTTTAGGAAGTTAAATTTGATGACCACGAAGGATGAGATGAACATGAACAATTTGCCAAATACTTGCTTACCATTATTATTACTAGTATCATTAAAAACTATTTTATATTAAATAATATGATTCTTGCATAAGAAAGAAATTTACTGAGACTTCTTAATATGATTCTCTCTCAGTATTTTCTTTCTATCTCTCCCCTTGACAGGGCTTTGCTATGTTTTCCAGGATACCCTCAATCTCCTGGGCTCCGGCAATCCACCTGCCTCAGTTTCCTTAGTATGTAGGAATACAGGTGTACACCAGGGTACTGGCTATTTTAGTATGTCTCTTGTTTTTATAGTATCTAGCTCCACATGCTGTCACTGATACACTATTATCCTTTTGAGATATTTCCTCTCAAATAGAATATAATCATACTCAATGTCTGATTTTATTTTATTGTACTTATGACCATAGTTTTCACACTATATTCTTACTTTGAATAATCCCACACATTCATTGCAGGATATAATCATTATCAAATATCTTTTTTATTAATTTCAAAAATAGTGTTTTCTTCCTGTCTTCTGCCTGTTTCTTTCTTGTCCCAGACTCCTACCTTTGCTTAGCAGCTAATGTTTTTTTGAGTAATATCTTAGAATGCCCTTTTTGTACTATCAGTATACTCTCTGGGTTTCCATTAAGGGAAGAATAATGTTTGGGCAGGTATTCAACTGGAGAAAGAAATAAATCTAAGCTTTGAAGAATTTTTCATATTGAAATAAAAATGTAAATGAATATTAACCCAACTGAAATTACTTTGTAGGTTAAGAACATTATTAAATGCACATTATTTGTACATGTATTTGACAAATATAATCTGAAACTATAGATTAATAGAAGCTGGAGGTTGAACAAATTCTTGAAAGAAAAATCTAGAGAATGATCCCTGCCACAATTTTTTGATGATTTTAGTAAGTAGTCCTTAGACTGATAGGGGTGAAGGAAGGAACCACAATATGTAGGAATGGTAAACAATGAATAGTCTAAAAGAAAATAAGGCCACATAAATGCTTTATTGAGTGACTAAAAATTATTTGAAATCTTTTGCTGGGAGACATTCTACACAAACACATTCATTTGCAATATACTAACACACATATAAAATAAATGTGAAATTCTATTTTCTTTAAGAAAAAGAGAAAATTAAGTCTCAAGAAACTTTTCCAATCTTCTGAGGCCATTGCTTTCTTTAGAACTTTAATAATATCTTAATTTTTAAAAATTGAATGAAAGAATGCATCTGGCTATACAAAACTGCTTATGAGTGGCAGTATACCTATGGTTAGAGGATTCCTGTTAAACATTAAACTTCAATTTTCAATGTTTAATTAGTATAAAAAGTGAAAAAGCCAGTAGAAAAAATATGGGTTTTTTTTAACTGCTTCTTTTATCTGAATATATTTTCTCTGACATTGAGTGGGTTAAAGCATACATTTGAAAAAAATAAATGAATATTAATTTCATTGGTGATTAACTGATAAAAACCTAACAAAATATGGGACCAATAATATAAATATTACAGAAATTAATGCATTACTGTGGTCAGTTTCTTTCTAACCTAAACTTAATCATCATCTGGACATATTTGTGGTATACACCTGCACTTGCATATTTGCTTGTGTTGTACTTACTTTTGGTCACAACACCTTCTAAATGGATGATGTTAGGATGGTCAAACTGCCCCATGATACTTGCTTCACCCAGGAAATCTCTACGTTGTTTTTCTGTGTAGCCAACTTTAAGGGTTTTGATAGCCACAGGTAGCTCTCTTTTTCCTGGTAGTTTCAAACGTCCACTACAAACTTCACCAAATTCACCTGGTGATAAAGATGGCAAAGAAATTTTGAAAGTTTATTTGAAATTCTTATTCTATTAACACTCTAATAACTCAGAGTTTTAAGACATAGACCAGAAAAATAATTTTAAAAGGGGAGTTCAAATTTCATTGTGAATATTAACAGAAAGAATCATTGGTATATTAGGAAAAATCATTCACAGATGATCATAAAACATGTTAAGATTTATTAGCTTTATCTGTCTCACCTATAAAAATCTTAATGGAAATGTTAAAAAAGAAATTAAAAGCAACAGCATAAAAAGCACTTACTATTTCCTCTCCTGTCTACTCTAATGAAACTTACTATTAATGAGAAGAGAAAAAAATAAAAAAAGTTTATAGCTGGATAAAAAGAAAACAATTGCTGGAAAAAGATAAACTGAACTATGTGAATACTTTTCTATATTACAAATTTACTATATGTATACAAAAAATAGATTGAAAAACATTATCTACTTGAAAACATATTTTTGCATTTTTTTTCTTTAATAAACCAGATGTGATTGTTAAGCATGAAGAACACAGAAAGTGACATTACCATGAGATAAATTACATACCACTTTGAAAGCAAGTCAATTATGTAAGATTAAAAACATTACGTGTTAGAGCAGGACAGTGATGTATTACATTCCATAATACAAGCAAAATGTAAGAGTTATACACTGTCATACCTGCTCCAATAACTCTTTCAATGGTGATACATGAAGCTTCAATTTCCTTGGCAAACTCATGGACAGCTTGATTGGGATCCTCATAGGTATGTGGATCAATATAGGTTCTTACACCTGGCAGTTTAACTGTAAAAAAATGTGTATTAAAATACAAGCTGTGATGGATGAGCAAAAGTATATATTTTATTAACACCCTAACATGGCTTAAATTTGAAGTAACTGAGCTGCAAGGATAAGCCCTCTCCTGAGTTATGAGAGTCCTTTGTATAGCAATGTTACTTCGTAAAATATTTTTAACATCTGGATTGTTGACATACACAAGAAATGCATACATGATGATAAATACAGCTTTCAATGATAATATTCAGACAGTTGGGTTGGAGGCATATCAAAAACTTTTGTTTATTAATCTGGACAGCAAAGTATTAGTAGTTTATTTGTTGGTTGCTTATTCTATGTTTCACTTAAAAACATCACCAGAGATTATTAATTTGTGTTTTTCAAAATACACTTTAAAAAAATATTTTTTTAAGTTCTATGGATCTTTATTTTCTTTTTTTATTCATATGCAGTGCTGAGAATCTAACCCTCACACATGCTAGGCAAATGCTCTACCACTGAGCTACAACCCCAGCCCTCAAAAGACATTTTAGTTGTAGATGGACACAATACCTTCATTTATTTATTTATTTTTATGTGGTGCTGAGGCTCGAACCCAGTGCCTTGCACATGCCGGGCAAATGCTCTACCACTGAGCTTCAACCTCAGCCCCTCAAAACACATTTTAAAAGAACCTTCTGGTGGTATGGTACAAAGAGCTTAGTAGAGAAGTCAAAAGAAAAAGAGCTCTACTTCTCCTTCTGCCTCTGTCACTGCATGACTTTACCCCAACCTTTATGTTCTTGAGTTTCAGTTTATCTTCTTTAAAGGCTACTGATACTACCCAAACAGTGCATTTTGAAGTTAAACAATATTAAATGAGATAGGACTATGAAATGGACTCATGCTTTTCATAGGTAATAGTCATGGTAGAGTGGCAAAAACAAAGAAAAAAATTTTTTCCATTTATCTGGCAAATCACCTTATGCTGTACTATTTAGAGGAAAATGAACATATTAAAATACTATAATTAAAATTCATTTAGATTAATTTTATAAGCTCATTATAAAAACTTGATTTTATGCTCTTTTAAAAATGTAGTTAATGCTTTTCAATTTGAACTAAGGCTGCTGCCATCGGATCTATTCACAGAAATTCATACTATATAATGCTAGAAGGAATTGAGAAATTTTATTCATTTAACCTGGTGGTTATGTAATGATAGATTTCTATACAGTGTGTTGCAAGGAATTAGAAGTAGCCTGGGAATTTGATTTGAAATGTAATAAATTTTTTATATTAGGCCAAAATTTTTATTTTAATAATTATAATGAGAACATTCTTTAAAGAATTGAAGAAATCCTCCAGTTAATGCCTATAGCCAGTCAACAAAGCTCAAGCCCATATTCTTTGTAAGAATGTGAGAGACTTGCTTTTATAACAATATTTTCCACCAGGGATTATAAATCCTCTTAACCTAAAAAGAATTCTAAATAACAATAAAATTCCTTCCCCACCCTTTTTTTTTTTTCACAATCTGCTTACTGTGCCCATTATGAAAATGCATCTTTTCCTCTTCTGGATCTTGCTTTGCTTTGCTGTAGCCACATCGCCTGGAACAAAGTAAGCTGCAATTAACCACATCTGAAGTGGTGAGTCAACCACATCAAGCCCAAAGCATGAAACACAACTGAAATTACCACACCCCTGAACTGATGTTCAGACTCCTAATAAGAAATGCCATTCAAATTCCTTTTGAATGAAACCTCTTTTTTTTTCCAGCCAGTATTCCTCACTCTCAGCAAATAATCTTGTCTAGATTTCGTTAAGAGGTCTGAAGCCATACAAACCTATGTTTTAAGTTCACTTTACCACATACCATACACCAGACATTTTTTTTCTGTTCTGTTCCTCTTACTTTTTTAACCAGCTCCCAGGCCATTATCTCTTTGAGGATGAGTTGCCCAACATGTGCCTCTGAGCTAACTGTCTCCAACCTTCAGCACCTGTCTTGAATGTTTTTGGTAATTTTGGTTTTCCCTTCTTGTTATAGAGACTTAAGTTGCTCCACCAGCTTCTTTCCATTCTTATCTACTCAGATCACCATGAAAATTTACACAACCTATACCTATCAGCTCTATTCCCTAAATCTTAATCTCTCCTGATTTTATCAACTATTCCCTAATTGTGAACTCCTTGCAATCTGCTCTCCTTTCTAATAAAAATCTGTTCAGAGGTTCACTAAAAACAACTTAAACTCCAACCCAAAGCCTTCCTCTTAGTTTTTAATCATTCTTGATGCACTAAAATCCAAAAATATTCTCCAACACTCTTGTTCCTCTCTATATTTATATATGGACATATCCAAAGGTCCTCTGCATGAACTTCTCTATTGCTCTCCTTTTAATCCATTCATTTCATCAATGTATTTAAACCAATATCTCTCTTATATAATTTATTTTGAGGATTTATTCTTATTTCTGCTAGATTTATTTTATTTACTTATCTGTATTCCACTGTCATTCAAACTCAATAGTCCTGAAAAGGAAAACATTATATCTCTTTACCCTCCTTCAGTTATGATCCATTTTATTTTTCTGTTATTAACAGTAATATAGCCTTTGTCCCTTAAGGCTACATTAATCTTAAGGGACAAACTCCTGGAGTGAGCTAGATCCTGATTCTAACCTTCACAACAAATTAGTTACCAAAAAATATTATGCAATGTAAATAGTTTACAATCCAACTCTTCTTTTTCCTCAATTAACTCTACCACTTCCTCAATTAAGGCTCTGTTATTTTTCATTTGGGTTATTATAAGTGCCTTCAAAATAATGTTCCTCCACTCTATACTCTATATAATGCTTTTCTTTGACTATGGTAGACATGGCTATAACCAAAGTACTGAATATTTTTTCTATTAAATAAGATTCTTACTAAAAATTTTTCAAAAAAATAAGAATGTAAATATTCCTAAGTATAACTTCAACTCACATTTTCTGCATTATCTTCCTCCATTGCTTTCAAACATTTGTTCGTATTGGTTTCTTCACCAAGGATTTTAATTCTAACAATGTTCAACTATCATAGTCTTGTTTGGTTTTTCCCTTCATATTTCCCTTGAAACACCAATTTAATGTAATTTCCCTCTGAACAAACAGCTTTATCTACTCCTCTTCTGATACAATTTACACTCTATAGCACAATAGAGGCATTGGAGTAAGATTTTTAGCTTTCCTAGTATTTTTCTGCTTCTTGAATGGCAGCAACTAGTATTCATCTATAAACTCCTGATTCTGAGTGGGCATTAAACAGTTTTATCATGTTGATGAATGAATAGATGGAATGAGTGAATGATACTTTGTGTCTACACAATGACAGGTGTTTAGAAAAGAACTATGCTGATGAATACTGAGTCAATGTGGTACATGATTGACCATATAACATTAAACAACTAACTAAAATGAGAATATTTAAATTATTTTTGGTGAAACTCAAAGGAAGTGATTTTACTATTCATAAGATTCCACCACAAAACTGAGTTCATTGCAAATAAATTTTTCATTTATTAGTTCATTTAAGAAAATACAGTCAAAATGGTAGATTGATGAATTATTATCATTATAAGATTGGCTGAAAACTACTATGTGACAGAAATGAAGTGTACAATAGACATTTACCAACAGAATGTTCCATATTCTGGGGTATTTAAAAAAATTCTATATTTTGATCTAAAAATATGACACATTTTGTTCTGTCATTTCCATAATTTACATATATATTAGGAATTGGTCAAAATCTCCAATCCTTATGCCACATTTTGAAAAAATACAGTTGTCTTTATTATATTAAGAAACTGGTAACTTATTAGAAAAATACACCAAGAAAATTTTTGAATAAACTTGAAATAATATACTTAATACATATAGTATTCTTGGGTGAGGAAAATATACTACAGAGATCTGGTGACTTTTCAAATAGATGCATTTGTCCTTCAAGAGCCCTTAATTCATTTTGAGTCACCTCATCACAGTGAAATGGAGAGAAAAAACAAATACATGAAATTATATTTGGTCTATTCAAGCTAAGATTTATGTTACTTTAGTACATTTTTCATAATTTTTAGTTATTCCATTTTTCTTTTGGGTTTTAATGCATGCACCTCTAGAGAGAACATTTATTGATATTTCTTTTTACAATGCTTTAAATACAATTGTGTGAAATCACCCTGAGATTCATGTTATTTAAATACTGACAAAAGACTTTGTTAGAAAAATTCTAAGGAAACCAAAAAGAACACATATTCTTTCAGTTTACAAACATCCATTCTACCTTAAACTCTCACGTCCAAAGAATAAATAAATAATAAGCTTTCAAAATGGTAATTTCCAATAGCCTTTACCATTAAATAGCCTCCAGGTATTTAAATTGTATGCAAATTTCTCATATGGAAATGGAAATAAAACATTGTATCTCCGCTAAAAAATGATTTGGAAATACCTTGGTGTGAAGCAGTTAAAATTTTATTACCTAGGGTAAGAGTCAGGAGGGCAATAGAAAGGAGTTATTTTCGACTATGGGCATCTCTAGAGCTCTGTAACATATACGGCTGCAAGTCACATTAACATATAAAATTAAGTTCTGGAACCCTCCAAAGCATCATTAAAACAAGCCTCAACAAGGTACAGAAAGTAAAAGTACAGCTGGTGAAGATTGGCACTCAAGCAGTGGTTCAGCCTCATTAACAAAGCATGGCAAGGAAGCCAGCTCATTCTAAGTCATCTTCTGTTCTTGCTCCAGATGCATAATTTTAACCAATCAAACAAAGTCAATAAACATGTCATTCTGTACATAAAATAAGCCTCCTATTTTCTGAGTTACTTTTTTTCTTCATCCTGCTTTATATACCAATTTTAATTCATGTTCTAGAAAACAAGATGCTTTTATAGATGGGTTTTATAAAAGAGATATAATATTCAACTAATATTTATTCATTAATATTTATTACAGTCCTAGAGAGAGGTGCTTGATATAAAAAATATAGCAATGACTTTAAGGGTAAATGTATACATTGTTCCATTTTCTCCCATACCTATCCTAAGGAGTTTGGCAACACATGCCTGATAATATTCATGTGGATCTTAAAAACCTGTTCAAAGCCACCATATTTAACTTGTATATTTGAAATTTCCATAATACATGAAATAGAAAACAATAGTTTTGTGTATAAATGGAGGTGCCAATTAATAATTTAGTGCTGGGTATAAATTTAGGATATGATAATAAATTTAAAATATTAATGTCAAACACTCCAGAGTACCAAGCAGTGCACAGGATCACTAATTTACTAAATGGCACCCTTGTGGCCAATGAGATAAGACAAGTGAATAGAATAGCCAAAAGAGTATGAATCCTTACTCAACAACAGCCTCCACACAATCGTATTTTGTTTTTAACGTTTTAGCCAAAAGAAACAAATACTGAATAATTATTTTCAAATTAATCTAAATAAGAATAGGTGGGCTACAGTGGTAGAAGGGAGAATGATTTTGAATTTTGATTTCTTTAAAATAATAAGAACATGCAGTGCTTGACTATGAATCAGGTACTCCTGTACTGCTTCTCTAATTTCCAGAATATTTAAGAAATGAAAATCTTTCTACACTTTAAAGTAAAAATGTTCCAAAAAGAAAACTCCAAATTATAACATTCACCTCTATGTGTTTTTCTCATAGCAAAATAAAAGCACTTAATTTAGTCTCTTTTAAAACTACATTTCTTAATCTGCCATAATAATGATTTCAACCACTGTATAATGTTGTATTTAAAGATTTTTATTTTTGGAATCTTGAAGATAATAGGTTATAGCTTTTGGGAAAAGACTTTGATGTTTTCATTTCAGAATTCTCTCCAATTAAACAAAGGTAGTTTTAATAAAAATTCAGCTAACTCAGTCTCATAAGATAAAGAAGCACATGAACATTGCTTTTAATATATCTAATTCACATTGGAAATAGGTGAAATTTTATTTATGTTCGAGCATTCTTCCACAAGAATGGGACAGACATTTAGGATAGCTTGCCAGCACAACCTCATGACTCTCATCCATATTTCCTTCATTTGTAATACCTGGACACTAGAGTTTGAATTCTCTATAGATAGATCTACAAAGACAAAGCGTGCAACTAATCTGTCACTACTTACTGAAAATTCTTAAGTATACTTTTCAATAGAAATATACTCATCCTGAAAACATAGACTCCTTGAACCCAGGAATGATGCAATTGAGTCACCATCTCCCATTTGATCAAGGTCACAAACCATCCTGTGATTAGTAGCATATGAGAAGCTAATTTATCTTATTTTATGACTTAGATGTTATTGTTATCTGTACATTCTAAAAAAGATAAGAAAGTCAAGTAACACCTTCAAAAATATACAGTACACATAAATTTGTAAATCTTCCATTTTTGAATTCTCAAAATCCTTTTAGAATTACCTAGTAGGAAGACCTGTAATTTTTCAAATACTTAGACTATTTTCAAAATTAAATTAAATTTTAATTCACTTAGAATTGTTATATAACATTTCACAAAATATGACATATGAGATTTAATTTCCCTTTTTCCAACAAGTTTTGTTCTAATGTTAGAGTGGGTAATTTCCTATTAACTTTTAACTATTTCATAGATGTTCTCTGAAAATCTTAGAGTAGACTCATTTATTATCTCTTACAATCTGAAGTTCTACAGTATTTTTTTTAAAGGGGACCTTGGAGAAATTCTTAGTTACATTTTACACATCAAGCCTTCAATTGGAATTTAATATGTTCAGCACATATTTCAAGTACAAAAAACTCTAAATGGAGGTCTAGAATTATAACAAAAGATTTTTTTTTATTTTTTATGCTACTTTTATGCTTTCTAAAAGGGAAGAATACTTATGTACATTTCCGTGACTGACATCTTGTAAGGATGAATAAATAGTCTCTGAAATGTATATGTGAAGGTAAAAATCTTCCTACTTCAAATTATTATAAACTTATGTACTTAATATAAAAAGAAAATAGTTTGTTGAAAAATTTAGATAATAATGCTTCAAAAAATTCACCTTTGGCCGGAGATGTTTGTTTTTAACAATTGCATTATAAAATATTTTAATATCTGCATCTTAAGAGGAAGTAGAATTTATCTCATTACTGGTTAAAAATATTTTTAAATAAGAAAGTTGGTTTCTTTAAAAAAATGAATGATTTTCCAAACAGAATAGGCAAGTGCAAAAAATAGCAATTCAACATCTCTAATTTCAAAATACTTAAAAGTTTTTTCCTTTGACACTTAAACCCTTCTGAAGAAATACTAAAGGACACATAAACACTTTAAAGTATGAAAAATAATGAACAAGGGTAATAAACTGGTGTATTTGAATTTAAGAAATCTAGAAATGGCTATTTTGGAGACTCTAGGATATTTCAGATTGACATAAAAATAATATACTATGGATTGATATTGGTTTCCATCAGCCCAAACACGAGAGACTTCAGGAATAAATGGTAACATTATTTTAGAAATTAAATATCTATTTTATGTCATATATGATTAAATTGATTACAATCAATTCAACATTCCTTGTTTGTGAAAAAAAAATTATTTTGAGATGTGAGACAATGACTAGACTCTGAGCCAGATATGACAGCTTAAAGGCACAGGCCATTGAAAAGAGTACCTTTGCTAAAAATGTTGGCAGTTGTAGGGAAAGGACATTTTAATTTTAGGCATATGACTAGCAATCAGAAATATTACAGAAATAACTATAGAAATATCTACAGAATCACAGTAGATTTCAGTCGAAGCAGGGAGAATATCTGGAATATTAACATGATGTTTATGGATGTCATAACAAAGCAAACAGTTACAAGTCATAAAAATAATTTAAGACCAAGGATGAAAGATGGAAACATGTAAAAACAGATCTCACATTTTAAATAGTAAAACATGCCATGGGAAAAATAGTGGATTGTGCCTTTCTGGAGGGAACTAGGACAGAAATCAAAACTCAACATCAGCACCTTGTAGAAGCTTTGTTAAGGCTGAACTACAGAAACAAGGATGTAGATTGCTGGTGCTGAAAGTTTTATTTCCACAAAGTTTATTCCACAAGTATTGCAAAGTGTCTCAAGGTAGCTCAATATATTTCCATATAGTATCTCAAGGTATTTCTAAAGGTCAAGGACTATACAATTGTAATAAAAGCATTATGTTATAATAAGGTCAAAACCAACCACACATGTATTTATTTCAAGAAATGAAAAAAAAGAGATTTCAAGATCCAAAATGTCTAAAAGTATTTGAAAATGTGCCTGTTCATAAATGATGATGATGATGATAGAGTTTCTTGAAAATTATTTATATGATAATTAACAGAGGCTGGTATGACTATACACACAAAATTCAGTGACAGATTTCAGATTTTCCAGCTTCCCCTGAAAAGTAACTAAGAGTATCTGTGACTAAATATGTTTTTTCCATATACACACAGACAAGTTCACATGCACACAGACAAACCATTATTTGCCTCCACAATTCCTAACACTGTTTCACAAAAGATATTAAGCAAAAGTTTTTATGTTGTTTTTTCTGGTGTATTCCTTGCAAAGAAGGTGTCTTCCCACTTTCCTTCTTTCAAAGACACAGTAGAAAAATCACAATGTAAAAACAATGTAAAATCACAATGTAAAACTTTTTAAAAATTCATTAATTCAATCTAGTTGAAGTTCATCTTTGCCAATACTTACTAAGTCATGGGCTCATTAATGTTCATGTTCCCAGTTAAGTTTCTTTGATATTTACTTCAACATAGGCATGGATATCAGTCTTCTTTCTTTCTAAAATGTAAATTCTATCTATTCTAATTTAGTGATAAGTTATCACTTAAAACACTGTACTTGAGACTGAGGTAGAATAGGCAATTTAACAACTATGTTGTATTTTTTCATAGCACAGTAGAAAAATCATAATGTAAAGTCATTTACATTTTATAGTTTTGCTATTGTCAGATTGCAGTATTTATCTGTTTTGTCACTGAAGCCTCATGTCCAGAAGATATTCCTGTGTGAAGTAAATGATACACAAAAATCTGTGCTTTCATATTAACTTCAGAACTTTTTTTTTCAAATACAAAGCTTTCAAGAGAATGAGAGAAAGATCTTTGATTTACATCAGGCTGTGTTTTTTTACTCTTCTTTGATCCAAATATTGCTGGTATCCATTCCACCATTTCTCATCTGTGCACATGTGTGCACACTCATTTACAAAGCTTTTTTACTTCAACAAAAAGTAATAAAACTTAGGGAATATAAGAAACCAATTTAAATGATGTTATGAAAGAAACTCTATAATTCTTTTAAAGGCATTTTAAAAATTGTTTCTTGATAAATTTTGATAACAAATGAGAACTCAATAAAATAATTCAATGCTTTAGACTCTTTATAAAGGAATTACCTGGAGTACTTCAATTTTTATAAAGTGGCTCAGTAATATGTAGGAATTTCCCAAAACCTAGGATGAGAATTCTCAGGTCTTATTTTTCCAGTCTATTGTGTTATTGTTATAACCCAGGTATTTCTTAATAATTTTAACTCATAAATAATTGAGACTATACCATTTAGACACTGATTCCACAAATGTACATATTTTTGTTCAGTGGTATCAAAATAGGAATATCACTTCAAATATCTGAAATAATTCAAGCTTGATAAAATTAGGTAAACCATTTAAAGTTATATGTGGTTTTGTATATCAATGCCACATGTATCCACAATGAGTATGACAATTGAAGATCCCAATTACATTATGGTCATTCCATGTTTCTGGGAGACAGAAAAGGTGATTTAACCTTGACAGAAGTAGTACTGTACTTCCACATGTGATATGGATTATACTGAATGGAACAACAAAAACAGTGACATGTTAAATGTGGAACAGATGCTATAATCTTACAACTTCCTATTTCAAATCAGAATCTCAGTAAAAGCTGCAGAAGAGAACTATGAATGCTTGACATAGGGATGATGTGCTATATGTATAATACTTTAGTTAAAATAATTTATTGTGAAATCACTTATTAGGATTTACCTTTGGGAACCAGTTTCATCTACTTTTTTCACTGTTAAAGTGTAACTGGTGCACCAAGTGTCAAAATGTACACAAATGGAGAAAGAAAAGGAATGCTGACAGTAATACATAGAGGTGGACATCACGTGGGAGTGAAAGCGGGAGGGAACACTAACCATATTAGGCTTGGATGGGCAACAGCGCACAGGGAAGAAGCCCTCCCACAGCCACATTCGCAGCAACTGAAAAGCAAACAAGAGAGCCCAGGATAAGGAAGAGATCCCACTCCCTCAAATATAGAAAAAGACACTGGATTTACTCAAGTGTCTGCTCATCAAAATAAAAAATCTCTAAATGCATATAGTAAGTTTTTCCACCATGGCTTTCAGTTTAAGAAGCACTTATGGATTTAAGAAATACAGAGTTACATTAGTTATTTTTATCTTAGTTAAAATGATTATTCAATAGGAAATATAATGAGCCAACATACTTTAATCAATTGTATGCAATTAAATATATAGATATATTAATAAATATGTAAGCCCATTTAAACATCTCTTTCCTTAAGAAATTTCCCCAAAATTTACATTTGGAAGTCATTCTAAATAACCTTTTAAATACATGTGTTTCATACAGCATGCAAGTTTCCAGTAATAGGTCTTATTAATTTGACCCACTGATTTCATATTGCCAGTGGTATTAGTTATCACAGCATATTGAAAATTTTATGCTTATGTGACTTCTTCAATCACTTATAGAAGGCTTCCAATTTAAATTTACATTTCAGATTTTAAAAATGCAACTCTAAATATGTATATTTATATATTTGTAGAGCAATAGCTGTATTAAAAATGCAAGTTGTATATAATCCATTCACTTTTCTAGATATTGCAAAGTACAAGGTTATTTTTAATTTTCCATATATTCATGTTAAAAACTCCAGTAAATACAAAGTTCTCCAATAAAGTGAACTTTATTGATAGAAACCATGAAAACTTATGGCAGAAGTTATTTAGTGCTTCAATGCATTCAGTTTGGTTTACTTTTATGAATAGCATTTAAACTGATTTCAAGAGAACTGTAATGAGAACTCAGTAATGATAATCTCAGTAATGATATACCAGCAGGTCTAGGCTTTTATAAAAATTTGTTTTTTAACTTTACTTGAAATATATCGACTTTATTTTATATAAAGGGAAGAAAATAAAATATAAATACCCAATGAATTTGCAAATGTTAATAAAGCCAGACTACTATTTCCAAATCAAATTCCAATGGATAATTTTCAGAGGAAAAGTAGACAATGTTTTATACCTTATTCCCCCAGCATTTGTGACGTTCTAATTTTAAGTCTGACTAAGTATCTGTGGGTTTGGCTGTCACTAAAATGGAATCCTTATAAGCAATAGGGATACTATGACACTATTTTCAATTTTAATACTTATGATAATTTAAAGAATATTTCAAATAATAATTTGCATTGCAGATATGTTAAAAACCAGAGTCATACCATATTAAAATATTAAGATACTATATGAATAGGTAAAACTTTTATAAAATAGATAACAATTATTTTTTATATTTACACCTATTTCATTGATGTATTAAACAATTACTAAAATTGTATTTAAGTTAACTTTATATAGCTTCTACCTTGTCTTAGCACTCAGATTAGAGGCAGACAAGCTATGGCCCATGGGCCTAATCCAGGAAACCATGTGTTTTGGTAAATATAGTTTTACTGGAAGTTTGCCAGTCTCATTAGAAGATGGTTATGGATTCTTCAGTGCTGCTACAGCAGAGTAAAATAGGTGTGACAAAGGCACATGGCTTGCAAAGCTAAAACATTTACCACTTGGCCTTTTAAAAAAAGTTTGACCCTATTTCTTAGAGTGTTAGTTTCTTGGAATGAAGATGATTCCTTGATCTTTTAGGTTTTCTTCATAGTTGAAATGTAATGAATAACCACGTTTTACCATAATTGTTAATAACAACACAATCATCTCAATTTACTCATATCTACTAACACATACAAGTTTGCACACATCTGTTAATTATATCCATGAATTCCAACTCAATAAATTATTACTAATTATTGACAAGTGTATTGATCGGTTTTTAGTAAGAAATTCCTCATAAAGGACAAACTTGCCTCTGCCTGAGAATTTGCAGTTTATAAACTCATACAGATCTGTGCTTAGAAAAATAACTGCATTGTGATTGGACATTATCTAATAGGATTGGTTTCATGTTGCTCATCATTCCAATATTCAAGAAAAACTTCAATGATTTTAAAAATAATAAGAACATTCTATTAAATTCTCTTAACTTGAAAAATTATAAGCATTCTGTCTTCAAATTGGTACATACACACATCACACACATTCATTGCCATGCAATTCACTAGAACAACAAATTCACATATTTTAGTCCTAAAGAATCTAAATCATCTTACCTATAAATAGAATTTTACTTTATCATTTTGATAAAATTTAATCAAAAGACTTGAAGCCATGCAAAATCACTTTTATTTTTACCAAACATTGATTTAGGTTTTCCAATGATGCTTTCTTTGGATTGCTTTAAGAGGCTCTGGATAAATCACTGGGAGTAACTTAAGTAACTAGAATGTAACTAGACTATGTTTAGGTTGAATCTATAAAATAGTGATAAAAATGGATCTTATCAGTTTTGTGAAAAAAAGAATGAGAAATTACTTATATTGTACTTCGATCAGTTTTCAACTTATCATATATTTTGGAATAAAAATATTAGTTATTGCTCTTAATAATATACTCTTTTTTTGGAGAGAGAGAGAAAAAAAAGAGAAAGAGAGAATTTTTTAATATTTATTTTTTAGTTTTCAGTCCACACAACATCTTTATTTTTATGTGGTGTTTAGGATCGAACCCAGCGCCCTGCGCATGCCAGGCAAGCATGCTAACGCTTGAGCCACATCCCCAGCCCAATAATATACTCTTTATTTTTTTATTTTTTATTGTTGGTTGTTGAAAACATTACATAGTTCTTGACATATCATATTTCACACTTTGATTCAAGTGGGTTATGATACTCTTAATAATATAATCAATGTAGTAGAATAGATCTTAGAGGAAATGATTTTTTCATGATCCATATGATATTACCATGTTTAATATTCCCCTTTAGAATATAACTCAGCCATTATATATAGATCAATTCATATAAATACAAAATGACCAAAGTATCTTAAAAATAAATCATTTCTTTACATTTTCTAAGGATTCAGTGGTCAAAGCATTAACATTTTTTAAGAGAATTAAAACTTACATTCCTTTTCTCTGAAAATGTAAAGTTGAATAATAACTGCCCAAATAAGCATTTTGGGATAAATTTTGAGGATGCTATTACTATAACACCTTAGCACCAGATGGTATAAAAATATGCTTTCCTTTATCAATAAATATTCATATATGCACTTGAAAATGCTTACAAGCATCAGAGATAACAGAAATAGAAACCAAAATGTGCTAGAAATAGCAGCCAATCTAATTTCTGTGAGCTATGGTTCAACACAGGTACATCTGCATTCCCATTAGTTTTTAGCACCTGGAACTCTGTAAGTAACTGGATGCAGTTATAACAAGATCATTATTATCCAAGTTTAAAATAGTTTAGCCCTCAAGATTATCATAAAAAAAAACTGTTGGTCTTTGTTATTAACAAGATACTTCGATTTATCCTTCAGAAGATTAAAACATGATAACAGAAGTTTTCTGGACCCAGGAAGATTCGAATGAAATTGTTTAGCCAAACCTTGATCAATATATGTATGAAATGTGCTAATGTTAGCAAGATAACCTCCCTCCCGTGGAAGCAAGGTGATTATATCTCTAGGGAAGAGATTCTCAAACATACTACATCAGAGAAGCAAGACTGAAAGCTGTGGATAAATGATGATTTAATTTCTTAAACAAGAGATCATATAGTGGATAAGTAAAGCAGTAAGATGCCACTAGATAAATGACAGAAAGACAGGAAGAGTAAGTTCACAAAAATACTTTGATTAGGCAGAAAATATTTTCACTATAATTGTTAAAATTAAGAAAACTAAGACTGTATCATTTACTCATTTTAAAATAAAGCAACAATAAATGATAGTACTCAGTACTGAAGAAATCAATGTAGATAGTGCCACACTTGTAAGTGACCAAAGATACTAAAACATATCATGAAACTTTTAGAAAATCATATGGAGGGTCCTCAACCTAACAATAGTTCCACCTTCAATTTTTCAACTATAAGGTGGTTCAAAAGCAATACATGCTCAATAGAAATTGTAGTTTAAAGTTTTATTTATTTTTTTCCCAGGCAGTGGTATACTATATGATACTCTCTCAAAACACTGGGCAAGAACACAAGCCAGTTTCCAGTCAGCTCAGTGACCTTGAGGGTAAACAACCAGTACTCTATAGTGCACTTTGGTGCTACTACCTATGATGATGCTCAGTAGGTTAGCTGTGTTAAATGCATTTTGAACTTATGATATTTTCTACTTATAATAGGCTTGTGGAGAAGTCACCTCACTGCAAGCAGAGGAACATCTGTACTTCAAAATCTATCAAAGAGTAATAAAAATGTTCTCATACTTTGACATTATTATGTTGCAAAATAAAGACCATGGTGTTTGTAGTCAAACAGTGCAGTCCTGGATATCTCCATTTATTAATGTACACCTTTGAGTAAACTAATTATTGACAAAAGATAATATAATATTATAAACTGTACCAGATAGGGTTGTTTTGAAGAATGACTTCATAATACACGTAAATCTCTCTGTTCTGTCCAGGGTTCACAGTCAGCACTGTGTAAGTTTTTCACTGATATTATTATAATAATATCACACTAGGAAATTATTATAGGGTGCAAATTACATACATGAGGCTAGGCATAGATTTTAAAGGAACTGAATGATCAACAAAATATTTTTTCAATAAAATAATTTTATTCATATGTTGATGTCCATTCATATGTTGATATCACTTCCTGGTACAATTAGGAGTTGTAAACTTTGGGAGATGATTAGATTATGAGGCTAGTGTTCTCTTAAATTGGACCAGGGCCCATTGAGAGAGGCCCCTTTCCTGTTCTTCCTTAAGAACATATAGCAAGGAGGCAAGCATCAGCAAACTTGAAAGAGCCCCTACTATGAACCAGATAAACCAAAATCTTTGTTAGATTTCCCAGCCTCCAGAACTATGAA